CTGCCAGAAATTGAACTCAATTAAAGTACAACTACAGAATTAAAGAAGAAACCACATCAAAACTGGTAGAAGGGATGGAAATATAGAATAGGATGGTCCGATACCCATGTGTGGTGAATAAAAATCAGGAGGGATCTTTCAGGAGCAAAGGGTGCCAGCCCCACAATGGATCCCCCCAGCCCAGGGTTCCATGGCCAGGAAGATAAGTCCTCATAACTTCCGGCTATAAAAAACAGTGGGGAGTGAGGTTGTGAAGGACAGAGACTGCTGCATTCCCAGGCACTTCCTCTTAAAAGGCTCACAAACAGACTTACTCAGACTTATTCCCTCTGAGCTCCAACAATGGGGCAGCAGCTTGAAAGGCCCACAGGTACACAGGAGGAACTGAATTGTCTGGCAACAGGGCGAGAGCTGGGGGACAGCTTTCTCCCAGACAGAACTGTTGGCAGAGGCCATTTCTCCTTTTCTGAGCCCTCCTCCCACAGACCCAGCAGACGGGCACCGTATCTGAGACTCCATCAACCTGGTTCAGATGGTTGGCCCCACCCTAGTGATTCCCTGAGGCTCTGCCTCACCCAAATTCCAGGTCCACCCAAGCTGCTTCCAGTGGCTTTTCTATATAAATGGCTGGTTTTAGCTCATGGTTCAGATTTTCCTAACACCTCTCAAACAAGCAGCATCTGGCCTCAGCAAGCCTCACACCTCTTGGTAAGTGGCCCAGGCCAGGGCCACTGGGCAAGTTTCTGACTTCACAGCTTGGCCTTACTTGGGCACCTCCAAGTCCAGCATAAGTAGTAGCTACCCACATAATGCTTTGTAGCTTATGCCACATGGCCTCAGAGGCAACACAGGTGATAGCTGACCATGGCCTGGAAAGCCCCAGAGCCTGCACACCCACTGGACAGCTACAGACCATGTCAGAGCACTACCACCCAACCATCTCCACAAGCAGCACACTCAAGGGATGGCCTCAATGGGCACCAGAACCCTGCTGAAGTAAGTCCTGCTTTGTGGAGTGGGCCCCTGCACAGATGATCCTCTATAGTGGTTGGAGGTTGGTGGTCAGCAGTCATAGCCAATTCTTGCAGCTGACTGGCCTGGGTAAATTTCTCCTATTGACCTGTCAACAGCAAACAAGCTTCACCAACAAGAGTAGGGTGTACATAGGCCACATGGTGGGTGCACCTCAAGTACCCAGCTTGGGTGATAGGGGAGGCTATGCCATTAGACCCTACAGTACACCTCTACATTAGGCCTCTCTATCAAGCCAAGGAGTCATTACAGCTCTACCTAATACACAGAAACAAACAGGGAGGCTGTCAAAATGAGGAGACAAAGAAACATGGCCAAAATCAAAGAACAGAACAAAACTCCAGAAAATGAACAACATGAAGACAAGCAATCTATTAGATGCAGAATTCAAAACACTGGTTATAAAGATGCTCAGTGAACATAGGGGGATGAGCAGATAAACTCAAAGAGGACTTCAATAGCATAAAAAGGATGCAGTCAGAAATGAAGGATACACTAACTGAACCGAAGAATAATTTACAAGGAATCAACAGTAGAATACATAAAGCCAAGAATCAGAACAGTGATTTGGAATGTAAGTAAGCAAAACAACAATAACAACAACCAAATCAAAACAGCAAGAAGAAAAAAGAATCCTGCCCCTGCCTCCCAAATGAAGCTAATGTAATGAGCCTCTGGGGCAACTTCATGGGGGTGCCAGAAGGAGAAGACAAAAAGCAAAAAATTGAAAACCTATTTGAAAAAATCATGACAGAAAATTTCCCTAATTTGGTGAAGGAAATAAATAGGCAAGTCCTGGAAGTGCAGAGAGTCCCACACATGATGAACCCAAAGAGGCTCAGGCCAAGACATATCATAATTACAATGCCAAAGATTAAAGACAAAGAGAGAATCTTAAAGCAAGAAAAAAGCAATTAGTTATCTACAAGCTACTTCCCATAAGACTGTCAGGTGATTTCTCAAAAGACACTTTTCAGGCAAGAAGAAATTGGCAAGAAATAGTCAAAGTCATGAAATGCACAGACTAACAACCAACACTACTCTACCTACCAAAGCTATCATTAACAATTGAAAGATAGATAAAAAGCTTTCCAGACAAGAAAAAACTAAAGTTGTAAACTCATATTATATGGGATGCTAAAGTGACTTATTTAAGGAAAAGATTAAAACTATGAATGATAAAATGGCAATAAATACATATCTGTCAACAATTGAATCTAAAAAACAAAATAAGCAAACAAGCAGAATAGAAACAGAATCGTAGATACAGAGAACGTTTTGGTGGTTGCCAGATGTGAAGGTCAGAGGTATAGGTGAAAAAGTGAAGGGATTGAGAAGCACAAATTGGTAGTTACAGAATAGCCATGGAGAGGTATAGTACAGCATAGGGAACAGAGTAGCCAAAGTACATATATGCATGGCCCAAGGACATGAACAACAGTGTGGGGATTGCCTGAGGGAGTGGAGTGGACTGGGTGGAGGGATGAAAGGGGGAAAAACTGGCACAACTGTAATAGCATAATCAATAAAATATGATTAAAGAAAAAAAATGTTTCTGTGTCTTTAAGTGAAACAACATGTAATAAAACCAATTTTACCATAGGCTAATTTTATAAATAAGAGTTAACTTCCTTTGGCAACATTATAATGAAAGGAAGTCATTTGAGGACCTGCTGTCCTCTTGCACTTTGGAGACATTAAGTAAAAGAAGGGTTACTTGAACACAAGCACTGAGATACCACGAGTTGATCTGATAACCCAGACAGCTACTAAGTGACTAACGGAGAAAGGACACCATATAGTGTGGAGATGCTTAAATAAGGGATGATGCATGTTCTGAAGGCATGCAATTTAAAACTTAATTTATTTCTGGAGTTTCCACTTAATATTTCTGGGATGCATCGACTATAAGTAACTGAGACTCTGGGAAGCAATTTAAATCTAATATTTACCTACTGTCCACCAGGAAAGGTTGGGATCCCTTGGTTAATGTTCCCTGAACAAGAGAAAGTAATGATTACTACTAAGACAAGGGATCTGGGAGTGGTCTTGTAGGCTCTTGTAACTAAACAGGCCCATAAAAGCTGGAGATGGAATTAGAAACCAATAAAAAACCTCCATCCATCTATTCCATCAACATTTACTGAGCACTTATTTTGGACAAGGCCTTGTGCTAGGATATGGGGGTATGCGGGTAAATGACACAAGACTACCCTTAAGGAGTTTACAATCTAACTTACTATACTATCTTTGCTCTTGTGTACTGAAACCTGCAGCGCCTTTTGGAGTTCTGCTCTGAACCTTAATAAAGTGGCAGATTGTACCTGTAGCTGTCTAGCTGCTGGTGTGATTGTACTGTTCCTTTTCTGTAAAGGCTTTGGCAGCTGGTGGCAAGATGTGTTCCTACCCCCCGGATCTCCCCCTGAGAATATATCTTGAGGAGCAATCTGAGAGATGGACAAGGATTTACGTACAGGGATGTTCACTGCTTTTCTAAAAAAAAAAAACAGAGGATACAACCTAAACTTCTAACAATGGGAAATGGCAAAATAATTGATGATATACCCCTCTGATGGACTATTAGGTGGTTATTAGAAATGGTATTTTAAAATAACTTAGCGGCATGTGAGAAAGACCAGAAAAAAAGTAGGACACAGATTTCTACAGAAGGTGCTCAAAGATATCCATAATTTGGTATCTTAATATCTTAGGCCCTCTGTATTTTTCAAATTTTTGACAATGTGCTTCTTCTGGTATTTCTACAATCTGGACTTTGGGGTTTTTTTCCCCCTTTATTTTAGAGACCTAATGGCAGAGAAAAAGCTAGAAAAACAACCAAAATGACCAAGATTTGGGAAACTTACGAGGACTGACCAAAATTAACTGAAATTCCACGTTATGTGGCAAGAGTTGTGTGAAATATCAGTGATATTAGCTGCAATATACTGACTGCCTACTATGTGCCAGGCATCAAGTAGGTCTATTATCTCTATTTTACAGAGGAAAAAAATTATATAATTCAGTTTCCAACTTAGGTTTGTTTGGTTTCATATCCTGATACAAGCAAATTCAAAAAGGGTAATAAGCAACTCACAGATAAATCCTATACAGGATTTTCCACATGTTTAGGGCATTGGAGGTCTGGGCTGCTGCTAACAGTGACAAAGCTTATGCCAGCTCGAGTGTGTTTGACTATATATTTCCCTGAAGAATCTGTCTGACATTCACAATATACTCCATTTATTGCCAGAAACGATGATGCCTTATGATTCGCATTATGTGCTCACATACATACATGTATCCTCCTTTCTGGCCCTCGTATTTACCTAGAAAGGAAGTATTTGCTTTATTGCACAAATAAAGGATACCACGATAAACATTTGTTATATGTACCACAGCCCATAAGACTTCCAGACATTCTGGATGTTAGTGAACCATGCCAGCCCTCCCAACATACCCCCGCACTAGCCCCCACCGTTTCCGTACAGTACCTAATCTCAGGGATCTCGGGGTGCACTCTCGTTGCGTTTAATTGCATCCCACTTTTTTCCCCAAACCTTGCCTCTCAACCCCTGCCTGATGAACTGGCAGTGTCAAGACCCTGGTGGCCTGACCTTGGGTCATCTTCGGCCTAGGACTCGCTGCGTGACCTTGTGCAAGTCCCTGTTTCCCTCTTCACAGAGCTGCAAGGATGAACAGGGGGGCTCCACCCTGGTCATTCCTTCGCAAGGCTGCCCTACTCCAGCACGCCCTACAGAGGCTCTCTCAGCTAGCGCCGCACCAACCTCACCCTTACGCTCCTGGCGTAGAGACCTCCTGGAGTCGCTCGGCCCACTCATTCAAGACGCTCATTTACGCTGCACAGGCTGGGCGGGCGCGATTCTCGAAGGCGGCCAGCGCTATGAGCTCGTGGTCACCAGAAGGCCGGCACGGCTTTACGCCACTGACGCAGCGCGCCCAAAATGGCGGCGCGGTTGTCGTCGGGGGTGGTGGCAGCAAAGCGGGTGGCAACGGTGGTAGCAGCGAGGACGGCAGCCTTAACAGCAGTGGCGGCAGCACGGAACCTGGGACAGGGGGAATGAGGCGGCTGCAGCGGGTTAGCAGCGGAGCCTTGTAGAGGAAAAGCGGATCCTTCTCCCTGCTTCTCTTTACCGAGCCGGGAGCGCGCGCGAGTACGCGCGCGCACACAGCCGTCAGGAGCGGGCTCCTCACCCTCTACTCCCGCGACCCGCACCGCACTCCCACCGGACCTGGAGGATGATGAAGCTCAAGTCGAACCAGACCCGCACCTATGATGGCGATGGCTACAAGAAGCGGGCCGCGTGCCTGTGTTTCCGCAGCGAGAGCGAGGAAGAGGTGAGGCACCGGGCAGGGGGTCACTGGAGTCGGTGGCCGCCTCGGGCCGAGGTGTGGGGGCACGGCAGGGGGGGGGAGGGGGACACACACGACTCTGTGTTTGGGCTTCGGGCAGGACTGCTCCGCCAGGCCCGAGTGAAGTTCCGACGGAATTTCCTGAGGCCAAGAAGAGAGGGAAGGTAAAGGCAAATGGATGGTGGGTGGAAGGGAAGTGGGTCTAAGTATGGCCATTCGTCACGGGCTGGGCGGAGGGGAACGCCAGCGTGTGGTCGGGTCACTTCAGAGCTGGCCACCTGTCCTCGGCCGCCTGTCTTCGGGGCAGAGTGGCCACGGGGGGTTGGGGTAAGGCGGGGAGGGCAGTGACTGGGGAAGAGTGGTTTTCAGTCCAGGCCTCCAGCTTGGGGTCCACGAAGGGCAGTTCCGCACTTGTCAGTCCAGCACATGTGTGCGGAGGCCGCCTTGCGCAAGGCGCAGGCCGACCCTTTGTGGCAGAGAAATAGTCCACTTCATTGACAGGTTTGGGGTTTGCCCAAGGATTTATGTGTGTCTGTGAGATATGGACAGGGGGCGGGGTGGGGGCGTTAGTAAGATTTAGGGAGTCGTGCAAAAGCAAGCCAGTTGTTTATAATGGGCTGGTAGCCCTTTTGGTGTAACCTGAGAAGAGTGGATATTTGACAAGATAACCTTTGAGGGTTGAAAATTTTTAATTTTAATTTGCAAAGCCGAAAGTGGTATTTAAGATATTCGCCCTGATTTTTCTGTATTGATCTATATCAAGGCTTTTGGAGTTAAATATGCTAGCGAAATAGAAATGCTTTCAATTAGTTTCTTTTTGCATAGGGTACTTGCAAAAAAAAAAAAAAGGAATCTCAGCCTCTCAAAGCTGCTTCTGTGGTATAAAGGGAATTCAGAGAAGGAACGTGTTTCGTAAATCCACAAATAGCACTTTGGAAATTTGTGAGATGCCTGTGGGAACACATTTCTCTCACGTGCATTGTAGTAAAATGGCAGTTAAACTGGAAACAATGAAGGACGGTGAAATTCAGTATGTTATAGTTTGGCATTCAGCAGTGGGCTATGGTGGATACAGTGCACTGCGTTGAAATGGGAAAGTAACTTGACCCATTAGTTATGAAAAGAAGCTGTGATGAAAGAGACAGATGAATGGATTGGCAGGAATGTTGGTCCAGAGATATTTAGGAGGAGGTGGGAATTTAAATTATAGCCTGAAAAACATTAATAAAGCACTAATCGTGCTGTTGAGAGATCATGTGTGTTCCCTTTCAGCAATACAGAAGGAAATGGGTTTTGTAATGTATACTTTGTGTCCTAGCATATCTTGTAAACACCCCACAAACAGATGCATTATAATAGGTGCACTAAGCAGGGGCATGCTGTAAATTATGTACTGTTTCAGAATACATACTTGAGTAACTAAAATTATTGGTGGTGTTTACTGCTCGAGAGGCTTTGTTCTCTTCATTATCATATCATATGGGATCACAGGGTGTTAACTGGGTGGAAAACTAATTAGCATAATAACATGTCTCACTGTAGTACAATGGTTAAGTCTGTGAGCACTCCAGTTACAAGTGAAAGTATGTAATTTAGTTGTGTGAGTGGTGTAAGATTTTATTTGTTTTTAAAGAATCATCTTGGAGCCCTGGCTGGTGTGGCTTAGTGGATTGAATGTTGGCTTGCGAATCAAAGGTTCAGTTCCCAATCAGGCCACATGTCTGGGTTGCAGGCCAGTTCCCCAGTAGGGGGCGTGTGAGAGGCAGCCGCATGCCCACCTTTGTTGTTTCTCTTCCCTCTTTCTCCCTTCCCCTTTCTCTAAAAAGAAAATTTTTAAAATTATTTATTTATTTCTCTAGTATGATTTTTAAAAAAAATCATACTAGAAATTGAGAACATGTGAGCATTTAAAACATTTCTTTAAAATTTTTTAATAATTGATTTTAAGTGGGGGGGAGGAGAAGAGAAAGAGAGAAAAACATTTATCGTTCTGCTTATTTATGCATTCATTGGTTGATTTTCATATATGACCTAGTCTGAAATCAAAACTGCAACCTTGGTGTATCCAGATGAGCAACTGAGCTACCCAGCCAGAGCAACATGTAAGCATTGTGGATAAATTGGAAACCCTTTATTGATCATAAGTGAACTAAAGATTTCATTTTCCATTTTTCTGTTAGAGGTTTATTTTTAACTTACATTAGGAGCATTAATGTTAATAAATTTGAACGATCACGGATTTCCTCTGAGTTTTTTAAAATATATTTTATTGATTATGCTATTACAGTTGTTCCATTTTTTCCCTCTTCTCTATCCTCCTCTGCTGTGCACCCCCATCCCTCCCTCTCCTCTGCCTTAGTTCATATCCATGGGTTGTACATATAAGTGCTTTGGCTTCTCCATTTCCCATATTGTTCTTAACCTCCCTCTGTCTATTTTGTACCTACCATTTATGCTTCTTATTCCTTGTACCTTTTCTGCCACTTTCCTCCTCCCCTCCCTTCCCTACTGGTAACCTCCAGATGATCTCCTGTTCTGTGAGTCTGTTCCTGTTTGCTTAGTTTGGTTTTTTGGGCTTTTGGTTTTTTAGGTTCAGTTGTTGATAAGTGTGTTTGTTGTCATTTTATTATTCATAGTTTTGATCTTTTCTTTTTTCTTAGATAAGTCTCTTTAACATTTCACGTAATAAGGGCTTGGTGATGATGAACTCCTTTAACTTGACCTTATCTGGGAAGCTCTTCATCTGCCCTTCCATTCTCCTTGATAGCTTTGCTGGATGAGTCATCTTGGGTGTAGGTCCTTGCCTTTCATGACTTGGAGTACTTCTTCCCAGCCCCTTGTTTCCTGTAAGGTTTCTTTTGAGAAATCAGCTGACAGTCTAATGGGAACTCCTTTGTAGGTGACTATCTCCTTTTCTCTTGCTGCTTTTAAGATTCTCTCCTTATTTTTAATCTTGGTAATGTAATTATGATATAAGTTGGTGTGCTCCTCCTTGGATCCAATTTCTTTGGGACTCTCTTGAGCTTTCTGGACTTCCTGGAAGTCTATTTCCTGTACCAGATTGGGGAATTTTTCCTTCATTATTTGTTCAGATAAGTTTCCAATTTCTTGCTCTTTCTGTTCTCCTGGCATCCCTGTGATTTGGGTGTTGGAACATTTAAAGTTGTCCCAGAGGTTCCTAAGCCTCTCTTCATTTTTTGAATTCTTGTTTTTTCATTCTGTTCATGCTATTGAATGTTTATTTCTTCCTTCTGGTCCAGATCATTGATTTGAGTCCTGGTTTTCTTCCTTTCACTGTTGTTTCCCTGTACATTTTCCTTTATTTCACTTTGCATAGCCTTCACTCTTTCCTGTATTTTGTGACCATACTCAGCCATTTCTTCAAGCATCCTGATTATCAATGTTTTGAACTCTGCATCTTATCAGATGCAGGTTGTCTGTCTCCTCATGGCTTAGTTCTGTTTCTGGAGTTTCGATCTGTTTTTTCATTTGGGCCATTTTTCTTTGTCTCAGCATACCAGTCTGGATGAATGTTTCTCCTTTAATTCCTTAGTTGTTGGACTTCCATACAGTTCAATTTTCTGGCAGTTCTGATTGTTTTTTTGTTTTAAAATCTGTTGTCCTTTTTTCATTTGTGTGAGGAAGCAAAATGTATCTATTTACCTATGCCTCCATCTTGGCCGGAAGTTGGGTTTCCTCTACTAAATTTTTAAAAAATCTTCTTTGTTCTACTGCAGTTCTTTTTGAATATTCGTTAATGAGAAGATTCATGCAAGTCTTTAATTACAGATTCAGTGGATGTTACAGCTATGCCTAGGAAAAACAGAATTAATAAAATGGACCCATTTCAGACTTGTTCAGTTCAATTAAATAAGTGTATTAAGTGCTTACTATGGGTATAGCTCTCTCTAGTGTGGGATAAACATCCCTCCTTGACCCCAAAAGATGAGTGGTTTTCAATGGGATCCCTTAATTGGGAGAGATCTGGGGCAAGAAATCATCTCCAGGGTGCTGCTCAACTCTGATTATATAATTGTGTTGGATGGGAAGAATTTGTTAGTTCCAGGAGAACTTTATGTTCTTAATAGAAGTGCTGGAAACTGACAGTATTAGCTGCTGCATTGTGGGAATGTGAAATTCCCATTCAGTAGGACATTCAACCCATTTTTATTTTTTAATGGGTACTAATGACTTTAGTAAAATAGTTTAGCCCTGGCTGGGTAGCTTAGTTAGTTAGAGTATCTTCCTGATATGCCAAGGTTGCTGTTCAGTCCCGGTTCAGGACACATACAACTGTCAACCAATGAATGCATAAATTAGTGGAACAGTGAATCAGTGTTTCTCTTTTTCTTTCTCTCTACCCCCTCCTCTCTCTAAAATCAATAAATTTAAAGAGTCATTTACAGAATATTATTAGCATTAATACAGTAGTAATGCAGGTATAAGTAGGACCCTGATTTGTAAGTTTAATTAACCAGTATCAGGAAATATACATACAGTGTAACAAAAAAGAGATGGAAAATATTGGCAGATAAATAGTCCATGAGTCAGACCCTCTAACATTATGTTTTATCACCCTTAGAAAATTTATTTATAGGCTAGTTGAAATACTGATCCAGTATTTTAGGATGTGTGAACATATTCAGCAAGTTTACCAACTATGTTTGTTGAGTGTCATGTTCTGTGGTAAATGTCTATTACGAAGGCAACAGACTTGCAGAAAGCTTTGAGTCTAATGGGAGAGATGGAAAAGCAAACAGATCCATGAAAATGAGTTCCCTTTCCTTCAAACCTCTGGATGCTTTTCCTGTTGATAAACAAGAAGTTCATAGCAGAAGAATTTTTCTGCTTACAAATTTTATTAATTGTGATTTACATTTTGATAAATTAAAATGTTTAAGTTTGGGGTGTTTATGATAACTAATATTATAGTACTTTGAACCTGATATTATACAGTGAACATTTTCTTACCCAACAGACCCTTT